GGCACACACTTTACTACATGTGGCCTCCAGGGCACACCAACTTCACCTGGTAAGCGACCAGTGCCAACCACTCATCAACCCAGGCCCTTCCACATGTCTACATTCTGCCCTCCTAGCCACCCTCTCAGATAGGAATGGTTATTATCTCAGCTTTACAGATATAGATTTGGAAACTGAGGATTCTCAGAGCATTGGTCCCATATTACTTCAGGGACCCCATACTGCAGCCCACAGACCGACTGCCCAGATGCGGGGTTTGTAACAGAAGTTCACTGGCACACAGCCACACCCACTTGTGCACGTAGTGTCCAGGCTGCTTTCACCCTAAAACGGCAGTGCTGAGTAGCTGCGACAGAGACCATATGGCCTGCAAAGTCGAAAATACGTTCTCTGGCCCTTCACAGAAAAGGTTTGCATCGATGTATTACATAAAGAGGTTTGGGAACGATGCTGAGCACTGCCCCTCCCCCAGCTGGCAGCCCATTGGCACACGAAGGCGCTGGGAAGGCTGTGGTAAACCCCCTGGTTACTCCCAATCTGGTGCGAGTGCACAACTTTTTTGAGAAACACTTCTTTGCATGTTTTCTATTTTCTTGGAATAAACTCAAAGTGCTGGTTTGAGTAAGATAAAGAGGTGATACTCTGACCAATGTTACCCCAAGAACTGAAGTGGTTTAAAGCAAGCTTTCCTAATCTTGAACAACTCACAACAGGTACAGTTCATCTTAACAAGGGAAGACACACTTCGGCAAAACCATTTTTAACTATTTTGTTTTCAAACACACTAGGTAAAAATAGAAATCACTTACATAGCCCCAAGTAATCACATACTTTTGTCACATAACTACATTAGTACAAGTCAGAAGCTGCAAAAACATAGGCTAACAATCTAAGCATCTACTTCTGACTATAAGACTAAGCCTCAGTCCCCTTACAAGTCATTTTCAACTATGCTTAAAAACTACATAATCACATTTGAACATTACAAAGGAGAGCTTCTCAATCTCTGGATCTGTAAAGGCACCCTGGCACATTCATACTTACCCACCAGCATCCCTAAGGAACTTGAATGAAGCCACTGTTCTTGCCTCTCTTCAGTTACTCTAAAGTTCCTACTTTTCTAACAAGTAAAAGCAAAGAACATCCTGAAGAGCCCTAGCCCTAGAAGTCTCTATGAAAACTTACATTTCCTATCTAGCCAGAGCTTAGGGAAGAGATGAAATAACTTAACTGGTCCTCTATTATTCACTGCAATAAATAGGGAGGTGAGACCCCACAATTTAGGCCTTGGCTAACACCCTGCTGTGCCAGAACCAGAGGGAAGGGCTCCTGCCCTGCGCCCCTGGTAGGAAGAACACACACTGCTCCCCGCCCCCCACAGCTGGTGACAAGCTTTCCTGCTGGGATTTCATTCACTTGCTGGAGTTACACTGTTGAAACTTGCCAAGTACTGCAGTCTCCTGTAATTCAACCAAATTCCATACTGACGAATGTAGATTTATAAAATGAATACACAGAATTATTTACTTTCATGACCTAGGTCTGGTTCTTGTTTCGGCCCTGTTACTTCCGGCAGACCACCTCTCTCGAGCTCCTCACCTAGAATGGGCAGGAAGCCTATCTTCCCTTCCTACCTCACAGGATGCTGTGAGGACCAAACTGAGGTGATGGGGGAAAAAGATCTCATATGTGAAGTGCAAACCACTGCACATGCAAGGAAGAGAAACACCTTTCTGTTTGAAGGGTATTCTGGCCGGTAGCCATCTTTTCCCCACACTTCCTTTAAATGCGGTCTCTCTTGCACTTAAAGGGATTGATGTTATAAAATGTAATCACAGCTGCTTAAGGGCGCTTACCCAGCACAGGACAAACTATACACACATTCAGTTTTCAGAAGGCAGTCTTTAAAAACTGTTTTATAAATGGTCTGTTGTATGTAAATTTTGTCTCAATGAATCTGGCAAAAAAGGAAAAAAAACGTCCATCTCTTGCATGGATATTTATTTCTCAGATACTGTTAAATCATGAATCCCTGCTGTTGCAAGACACTAATATGCTGTTTTAATTCAGACCTACTAAATCAAGAAGTTTACAAAACACACACCTAACTATGTATCGGTGACGCAAAGCCCTTATAAAGGGCGCCGAGCACAGCAAGACCACATTTGCAGGAAAGCACTGACGACTTCGATGAAAACCAGAAAACGCCACTTCAATATCTGACCTCACAAGAGCGGTGCCACTGCAGAGCTGAGGTCTGGAGGGGAAAGGACTGTTTTTCCTTCTTCCTCTTGCTACCCTCCTTTGGGGCACATTCCCTATTTCCGCGTCAACTCTGCGTGCTCCCCTCAGAAGCCCTCCCTGACCACCCAGCCTACAGGGGCCTCTCCTGTATGTCACTGGAGGCGATGACATTCATCCCTTGGAGATGCCGCCTTACCTCACTGGAGTGCTTTATGCATATCCACGCTCCCTATGTGAGACTGCAAGCACCCTGGGGGACAGCTCCCCAGTGTCAAGGGTACTGTTCTCCTCTGGGCCCACTGCCAGCCCCCAAAACTCATCTGACAGACACCAAAGCTCCACAGGCCAGTCCCCACAGACGCGCACTGCACCACAGCAGTCAAAGTCACCTGTTTCTCAGACCACCGAGCAGCCCCCTATTTCTCCTAACCCCTCAGCTCTGTCCAGGCAGGGAGCACCCCCATCAGATCTTACCACTCAAGCAGGAGCACACCTTGCGCATCTCACCCAATTTTCTCCTAGAAGCCTCACACACACACATCCCTCGCTACATAAGCTTGTCTCTCTCAAGAACTGTACTTCTGGTTTCTCCCTGCTTTCCCATCTAATCAAATGCCTTCACTCCTTTGACTGTATGTAATGTATTTCCTTTCCTTTAGTCCTTTGTTTGCTTAACATATGGCCTTAAGATCTCGTAGACTAGTAGTTACGGCAGACAAGATGTCCCTTGTTTAACGTGTTCCTTGGTCCCCCACGAATAAACCCTTTCATGATAACTGATGTAATGAATATGTAACCAAGGACTTGACATAAGTATGACTGTGAGTTTTATTCTTTGGATTATTTAAATTAGAACTATTAAAAACTGACTTTTTTGTTCCACATTTGGAAATGTGAGAGCCCCCCACACCTTATGAGGTTCAAAACTGGAAGGGGGAAAAAGTGGTCAAGAGTGGAAAATGCTTTCTGATAAACTCTGTTGTGATTAGCAGCATATTAAGTAAATTATCTGATCATACAATAACAGAACTACCCCAAAAGGCCATCCACTGGGCTCCATCTTGGAAACAGCTGGCTGTATATAATAAGACAAGCCTTTTTGTTAAGTCTTGTGTTACTAACTGGATCCTCTCTATAAGACAAAATCTGCAAAAATTTCATTCAACAATAGCAAAGCTAAAAGCCATTCAAAAAGTTACCACTTTAAGAGCACAAGCTGCAAAGCTGAACTTGCCTGGTATTATGGACATTTCATATCCTTAAAGACTCCACTGCAACATGGCAAAACTAATGAAGCAAAGGAGATCTAGCCTACAATAAGAGGGCACTTAAATCAGGGTTGTTTCCACATTTCTCACTTCAAATAAGTTGACTTAACAAAATTAACATCAAACTCAACTCTTTAGCACTTTAAAAAAGAGTACTATTGTTAACATTTTAAATGTACCAAGAGACTTAGTACTCTTCCCCACCGCTTAACAAAATTTAACTAGACAAGAATCTCCTTGTGAAAGATTTTTAAGAATCTCTTCTCTCACTTCTACGTTAACTAATATTCTAGGTATTATTAGAATATCTACAACTGAAGCCACAAAATTCACGGTTTGTTTCAACAGCAGAAATAGATTGTTAGACTAGTAGAAATATGCTAGTGGTCATAGAAACAGTTGCACAAGCTGAACAGCTGTGCCTACTGAAAATCTGAAGGCATTGCTACAGCAGTATAATTCAGTTTGGGCCCATTCATTATAAACTGATTTTCAGATGCTGCTACTGCAAGGCCCTACTGTAGAAATAAATGCAAGCTGCTGGGCTGGGGACAGAACTGTTCGCAGCGGTGCTCAAGTTCGTACCGCAAACTGAGCTCTGGAAGAGGACCTTCAAGGAGCACACAATGCTACCCCGAACCAGCCCAGAAGAGCCCATAATTATTAAATGAAGAGAGAACTTAAATACGTTTCTTAGGCAACTGATATGACGACCTAAGAAAGTTTTCAGGGCAGCTGTTTACAAGTATGATTTATTCAGTATCCTGCTAAAAAAAAAAAAACTTTTTTGTGAAAACTAATTCCTACACTCTTCAAGTAATTTTTTTTTATAAATCTACACTGTAAAAGCAACACAAGCTAACGGACAGTGCAGCCCTAATGAATCTGCTATGTAACTTTTTTGAAAGTCATACGTGTGAAGCTGAACATACCACAGCCAACTTTTATGACATCTTGCTAACGAAGTTCGGGACTGAGTAAAGTGACCAAACTACAGGAGTTTTCAAAGTAACTACCACGCATTTCCCAAGGTGCACATGCCCCCGACGGTCTCGGCCGTAACGCACGGGCTGGCGGCCGCTCTGCGTATCCGCCGGTCCCACCGCTGTGAGCGCCGCCACTTCAGCCGACACCTCGCACCCCCCTTTCTTTCCTCCTCTAGCATCACACGTACCCGCCGCTGTCATGCCCCCCGGGCAGCCACGCTAGGTCGACACACGGCGGTACAGGGGGGCGCGTGGAATCACCACGCGAAATCGACACGCTCCGCTTTACTTTCCTCCCTGGAAGAACCACTCGGCTTCCGCGCGGAGAAGGCTCCCCAAGTCCGGGAAACGCGAGTGCGCCCGGGCATGTGCCGGCCACCCGGGCCCAACGCCTCCCGCAAACTTCCCCGCCGGCGGGGTCCCGGCAGGCGCGGCGCGGGCCTCCGCCCGGCGGGCCGGGACACTCACCTCGGGGTGTGGCAGCGCCCGGCCCCCTCCTCACCTGTGCTGTCATTCGCCGAGAAGCCGGGCGAGCTGAGTTTGGCTCGTTTGGGGTTGGGCGGTCCGTCCAGCAAGTTCTCGGCCATTTTCACCTGCGCGCGGAAACAGCCCCCGGCGCGGGCGGCGGGGCCGACGAGGGCTCCCGGGCGGGGGTCGGCCCGGCCCCGGCCGGCTGCGAGGGGAGAGGCGCGCGCACGAGCCGCGAGCGAGCCAGCGAGCGCCGAGGGAGAGGGAGGGCGCAGGCCGGGTGGGGGAGGCGGCAGCCAAATCTCAGCCACAGCAACAGCGCCCCGCAGCGCTCACCGCCCGCCCCCGGCCGCCGCCGCCGCCGCCGGCCGCGGCCCCCTCATCCCCTGCCCGCCTCCCGAGCGCGACACTCCGCGGCGGGGGCGCCCCGGCGGCCCGGCCGCCTCCCGGGACCCGGCTGGCAGCGACGGCGTCCGGCCCGGCGCCTCAGGCAGTCCCCGGGAACATGGTGCCGCCGCCGCGCCGCCGCCTCGCTCTCCACCCCCCCCCGCGCCCCACTTAATTAATTCGCTCGCGGCCCGGCGACCGGGGGGCTCCGGGCTCCGCTCCCCGCCCACGGCCCGCCGCCGCCGCCGTGAGGAAAAACAATGCGCGAAGCGGGGCTGCCGCCGCCACCGCCGCGGCTCCCCCACCCCCCGTTCCGCCGCCGCCGCCGCCGCCGCCGCTACCGCTGCCGCCGCCGCCGCCGCCGCCGCCGCCGCGGCTCCGGGAGGCCGGGCCGAGAGGCGAGCAGGGCCGCCGGAGCGGGCGCCGAGGGCCGGGCGGAGCGGGCCGGCCGGGCGGAGCGGGGTGCGCGGGCGGTTGTGGGGCCCGGGACCGGCGGGGCCGAGTAGATCGCGCTCGAAGCCCCGGTCGGGTCCGCGACAAGATGGCGGCTGTTGATTCCTCAATTAAAAAAAAAAGAAAGTTTTTTTTCTTCTCTTTCCAGAGCCTGAACGGGGAGGGGGAGGGGGAGGGGCACGCCAGTGCGTCACCCCCCCGCGGCGTCACCACGCACAGCCCCCGCCCCGCCCCCTCCACCTGCGCTGGCCGCGGCGGAAAAGGCCGAGCGCGCTCCGACGGAAAGGGCCGAAGACGCGATCGCGGTGCGCTGGGCGGCGGGGCCTGCGGGACGCCGGGCGCCCGGCACTGCCGCCACTTTTGTTATGACGGCGAACGAGCGGCGTGTCCCATGCTGCGGCCTGGCCGCGAATTGGGCCCCCGTGAGCAGAATCGGCGCCAGCCGAACCCGCGCGTCCCGCTGAGCGATTCTGCCCGGTCCAGGATCCTCACATCCCCAACCGCGACCCTCCTCAGTGACCAGACTTGGCCACTTGCCCTCGCCTGATGCCCGCGACGTGTGGCCTCTGCAGGTTGCAAACCGCACTCGGGTCCGCCTGCGAGTGTGTGCAAACGGGGAAACTGAGGCCAAGTGAAGCGAGAGGTATATATACCTCTCATCCTGCAAGACCTAGTTCAAATGTCCTCTACTCCAGGAAGCCCTCATAACCCACTTCAGGGCTCCCACAGCACTTCTGGGCATACTGTGTCATCCACTTTCATCTGTGTTTATATTTATCCATCAAATATCCCTTCAAAGTCTATGGAGGGCATTGCCACTGTGCTAATCTTGGACAAAAAATACTGAAAGAAACCCTATATATTCAAGGAAGTCAAATAGTAAGCCTCGGAAATAATAACCAGAAGCATCCAAGAGGTCAATTTGCACAGGAAAGTAGGAAGTATATGGAGTCGTAGAGTGACACTGGGTTCGCAGCACCCTGTATCTGAATGAACCCCTCTCGCCGTGAGTCTGTGGGCCCCTGAGAGCAAGGGCCATGTCTCAGTCACAGAGCAGTGCCCTGCAAGAAGCAGGTTTGTAAAATTTGATGAATGAATGAACATTGTCAGTTTCCCCGAGTCCCAGAGGCCCCCAGGCTACTGAGGAGGTGGGTTCCAGCCTGAGACAGCCCAGGCCACAACCCCACTGAGAGGACAATGTGTCAGGTCTCCAGGAAGCCTCAGCCAGGGTTGCCTTGGGTCAGCAGGGATGCCACCCAGCCCTCAGGGTCCCTCTGTAAATGTTTACACAGGTGGCAGCTGTGGCATGGGTCGTGCCTTGTCTTACAGAGGGGGAAGTTTTGGGGACCTGGTCCTGATGATCCAGATGGTAACCGATCTGGACATGCCAAGGACAGCCCTGAACGCAGGTCTTCAAATTCCAGACCCCGTGCTCTTCCTTCCCCGTGGTGCTCAACCCTCAAACACAACTGCTGTGCAGTGCCTCTTTCTAATTCATTCATACCATTTTGATCAGTTCCTCTACAATTTCCTGATAACTGCTTTTTCCTTCTGTATCTTCTCCCCTTGGTCTGTATACTTTAGTGTATGTTGAAATGTCCATAATAAAAAGTTTCTAAGGTACTGAAATACTGAGTCTTTCCCTCCACAAACATGATATAACTGTTCATTTATCTAAGTTTTCTTCCATCTTGCAGTAAAAATTTATACTTTTCTCCATAAAGTTCTGCATATCTTTAGCCAATCCAACAAATTTGCCAGACCCTCTTATTCTAACCGCCTAATAATTTTTCTCTAGAATCTCTTGGATTTTCTATATAGGCCACTGGATCACTTGTTAAAAAAGAAAACAATGAGATTTTGTTTCCCTTCTCTAATACTTGTAACTTCCATTTCTTTTGTCTTGTTATGCACTGCTGGCCAGAACCTCCAGAATACTGTTGCATATAAACAGTGAGAGATACATCTATGTCTTGTCAGACTTGAGTAAGAATCATGTTTTTTGTATGTTCATTCATTCCACAAATATTTGTTGAGCACCTACCATGTGCCAGGCACTGTACTACATACATGGGATCTAACGACAAACAAAACAAAGGTCGCCCTCTCCCAGACCTTACAATCTAGTAGGCAGAGACAGAGGTCAGCATAGCTAACAAAGAAACGCTGCAGTGTATGTGAGAAGGTGGTAGTAGGTACTATGCAGCAAGGAGAGAGTAGGTTAAGGACCAGAGGCTCATTGTGGGACAGATGCAATTTTAAATAAGGTGATGGAGTCAGGCCTTGGTGAGAAAATTATATTGGAGTAAAAACCTGAAGAAGGAAGGGAGCAAGAGTGTGAAATGCCCGGGAAGAGGCTTTCCACGCCCAGTCGGTTCACAGCCTTGTGGCAGGGAGGTCCTTGGCTGTCTGAAGACGAGAAAGGAGGCAAGCTGAGTGGGCTGAGGTGGAAGCAGGTGACACTGCACAGGAGATGGACGAGCTGGGAGCCCCGGGGGAAGTGCTGACTCCGTTCTTGGACCTCCTCTTTTTTTTGTTTCTTCTTTTTCAGTTCATTCTCTATGAATATCCTGACTTTGACAGTATGTAGACCTTCAATCCATGGATACTATCCCTTTTCATAGAGGAGACTCCTCTCCTCCTTTCTTACAGGGCTTAAATCACAGGGTCAACTGTCCAAACCCCACCCTGCCTGCAGGGTCCCTTCTCACCCCCGTTAGCAAACTTGTTTGGCAAAACCACCACCCGACTTATGCCCAGCTCCCTGCCTACTCTTGATTTGTGCCTGACTGTTGAACGTGGCTGGGAAAAAACATGTGACCACACTCACTGGTGTCACTTTAATGAGTGACTGCAAACCTCCATCGGGCGCTTCCTGCTGCTGGGCAGCCACACTGATCCCACGGTGCTTCCTCCTCCCACTTTCCTGCCCTTGAAACTCCAACACCTGCCTCCCCACCCTCACTCCCAGCTGATGACTTCTTCCTTCTTGGCTGAGAAATTGGACCCACCACCAGGGACTTGCACACACTCCCCCAAAATACAGTCCCCCTGAGTTCACATTGGTGCTTATGCATCTATCTGCCTTCTTGCTGGTGCCGATACCAACGACCAATCCCTCCATCCCTGAACTAGACCCACCTTGCTTTTTACCTGCTCCAGCACCTATCTCCAAGGACTCTCTCTGACCCACATCATCAACTTTCCCTCTCTACCAGACCATTCCTCTTAGCATATAGGTGTGCTCTTATCTTGAAAAAGAAAAAAAGAAACCTCTTGACCCCATCTTCCACCCATTACCACCCCATGTCTCAGATCCATTTTGCTGCAAAACTCCTTTTCAGAGTTGTCTGGGCATGTTGTCTTCTATCTCCATCCCCTCCCAGTGTGACGCCATGTCCTTTACTTCAGTGTGCCTTAGTAGACCTCACCTGCCAATGTTACTGTTATTTGAAATTGTCATTGTATTTAAGTAAAATATAAGAAGAAAACAACAGGTCCCATTGTTTCCAGCACTCTTTGATTTTTTCCTGTAGCTCTGAGTGTTCATTAAGTATCATCTTCCTTCAGCCCAAAGAATCCTTTAGTGTTTCTTAACATCGCGGGTCTAGCTGGCAACAACTTCTCTGAGCTTTTTTTGTTTCTCTGAAAATGAACGTACTGTGACCTCATTGAAGGACATAAAATTTGGGGCTGGATGGCCTTTTTTTTCTTCCAGCACCTGAAAGATGCCTTGCCATGGATTTGCAAAGTCCTCGGGCCTCCATCGTTGCTAATAAGTCATCCAGCAGGCATTCCATGTCTCCAAATACGTAGTGTGTCTTTGTTCTTTGCATGCCTTTGAGATTTTTTTCTTTATCTCTGGTGTTCAGCATAGGGCTAGTTTTCCTTTCATTTATTTCTGTTTGGGTTAACTGTATGTAGATCCCTCTGCATTGGTATTTTTCACCAAGATTGGAAAATTTCCAGCCATAATTTTCTTAATTCTTTTTCCCTCACTATGACTGTCTTGTCTTGCTGGGATTCCAGTTACACAGATGTCCAATTGCTTGATATTGGCCCTGAAGCTTTGCTCATTTTTCTTCAATCCTTCTCTTTTTTCAGAATGAATAATTTATATGATCTGTCTTCAAGTTTACTGACTCTTCTGCCATCTCTAGTTGATTGTGCAGGGTCATCCAGTGGTTTTTTTGGGGTTTTTTTTTTTTGGTTTCAGTTATTTTACTTTTCAGCCCTAGAACTTCCATTCAGTTCTCTTTTGTATTTTCAATACCTGCTGAAAATTCTCTGTCGGTTCATTCTTTAAGACCACATTTTCTTTTCATTCATTGATGATATTTTCCTTTAAAAATATACTTGTATTAGCCACTTTAAAATATTTATCCACTAAATCCATCTGGTCCATCTTTTGTTCAGTTTCCATTGACTCCTTTTTTCCTTGACTTTGGATCATGTTGTCCTGTTTATCTGTATACTTAGCGATTTTGATTGAAAAATAGATATTGTGATGAACACATTGTGGAAGTGATGGATTCTGTTATCTTCCTTTGAAGAGTATCAGGTTTTATTCTAGCAGACAGTTCTATTACTGGTCAATTACCTTGAACTTCTATAGGCTTGTTTTCACACATTAGTGTAGAGCGGTAGAAATTCAGGGTTTTCTCTGGTCCCCCTGACTTGGCAGGACTCAGTCTTCAAACTCTGCCCCTGCTATGGACCTTTGTGTGTTT